CCACAGTACTATTTAAATAGTACTACTACAAAGTAGTAAATATTTAGCAGTAATTCTCAAGAGTCATATTGTATGGTTTGATCACATTTTCTCAACTAACAATTTATAACACTTACACAACCACAAATATGTTTGCAACAAATAAAGTCTTTTTTTACACAAATTATTATAATTTTTTACACGAGAACCATCTTTTACACAAAAAATCACTTTCAACACAGGAAATCGTTTTTTAGGCAAAAATTACCTTTTAACACAGAAAGATGATATTTACACAAAAAATCAATTTTTACACCATAAATTACTTAAATTTTTTACAAAGAATTCGCTTTTTACACAAAAAGTCACTTTTAACACAGAAAGTCCATTTTAGCACAAAAAGCCATTTTCAATAAAAAAGTCTCTTTCAACACAAAAAGTCCCTTTTTACACGTAAGGTCCGTTATTTACACAAAAAGTTACTTTTTAATCAAAAAGTATATTTTTTCATATAGAGTGAAAAATATTACTTTTACCCATTAAACGTGAACTATGACCTTTTTCATAAAAGTTCACTTTTTAAACAAGAAATCACTTTTAACACAAAAAGTCCTTTTTAACATAAAAAGCCCCTTTCAGCACGAAAGTACCTTTTAAACCAAAATGACCCGTTTAACACAAAAAGTACTGTTTATCAAATCAAGTCCTTTTTTTACACAAAAAGTCACTTTTTTAACAAAATGTAAATTTTCAAGCATAAAGTCACTTTTCACACAAAAAGTCTTTTCCAAAAAGGTCCCAGTTTTGATCTCTACGCATTAAACTTAATAGGGGTAGATGATAATGTCTAACTAATGTCTACTTTTAGGCTTATAATCGTTTTAAACTAAAACGTGTATATTTTAAAAATGGGTGTTTGAGTTTGAAAAAACATATTTATTATAAAATAAAATACATATCTACCAACCTTCATACATAACTCAGAAACAATATAACCTTTGGTTTTTGCCGCCGGTTGTGATTACATCTTTCAACCTTATAATCCTTATGTAATTGTTTCGACAAAATGCCTTGCAGGTTTAGCACAACGTTTCCAAAAAAAAAACATCCTTCTTTTTAGACTTATAGTTCAGCTAAACATTTAAAACAAAGATTATATCTTGTCAAGACAAGTATCATTGCTTTTTCACATTTCAAAAAAGGTAATGGATAAATGTTTTGTTTGTGAAAGAATGTAATTTTCTTTCTTACAAAACCACAGGATATTTGGTTATATACAAGATTTTCTTTGTTTTCTTTATTACATTCCCTACTAAAAATTATTTTCATTCAACAATAATTCAATGTTTTGTTACATTTTATCAAGATTATTTGGTAGTGATGTGTTTATATGTTAAGGCTCCAGCTTGTTTGTTTAATTACCAAAAGAAAATTAATAGATACTCGTATATTTATCTCAAATTGCGGTCATAATGATGTCATTAGATAAAAATGTTGCAAGGCTATTAATAAAATATAATGAATTTTTTTTCTATAAAAATAAGAAAAATAAAGGAGCAATTTTTCTTGAAGATGGTAATAATTAACACAAAATGTATATAATATATTTTACATGATTGCATTTCATATAGGAATGTATTTTACAAATCACGTCTTTATTTTTTTAATTTTGTGTTGACCAGAGTCAAAGTAGAAAAATCAAACATTGTAAGTAGATGACTACTACTTTTAAAAACAAATCCTTTAGAAATAAACGTTATCTGTATTATGTCAGACACATACCATTGTGGGTCACTCTTTATAGATGTTATTTTTAATATTTTTTCTACTATTAATTTGTTAATAAAAGTATTTTTAATTCATTTTTTTAAAAGTAAGCATTAGTTCAAAGCATAACTAAGTAGTCTATTGAGCTAATTACCACAACAAAAATTTACTATTTTTCTAAAGAAAGCTTTAGTACTTTCCACAAAGTTAACTTAAAACAAATTATAAAAAAATCTCATCTTAAGCTACAGCAACCACAAATGGCAAATATTATTATTTGTACATTTAAGTTTAATTATAAAAATTCTTTGAAATAAACAGTCTACTGCCTCTTAGAGTAAAAATTAGCATTGAAATTTATTTATATACATAAATACAGATTCAAGTGCTGTGTTTCTGAAAATGTGGCCCTGAACTAGAAAATTATATTTAACTGAAAATGTATATTCTTTAGAATTTGAAAAGAAACGTACAACTAAATTTTGAAAAAAATGTTCAATTTAAATAAGTTTAGAAAATAGCAATGTCAATGTCACTGTTTGTGTAAAATGGGACTTTTTCGTTAGTTGCTTAGTTAGTTAGTTAGGTAGTTAGGTAGTAGTTAGTTAGTTAGGTAGTTAGTTAGTTAGTTAGTTAGTTAGTTAGTTAGTAGTTAGTTAGTTAGTAGTTAGTTAGTAGTTAGTTAGTAGTTAGTTAGTTAGTTAGTTAGTTAGTTAGTTAGTAGTTTAGTTAGTTAGTTAGTTAGTTAGTTAGTTAGTTAGTTAGTTAGTTAGTTAGTTAGTTAGTTAGTTAGTTAGTTAGTTAGTTAGTTAGTTAGTTAGTTAGTTAGTAGTTAGTTAGTTAGTTAGTTAGTTAGTTAGTTAGTTAGTTAGTTAGTTAGTTAGTTAGTTAGTTAGTTAGTTAGTTAGTTAGTTAGTTAGTTAGTTAGTAGTTAGTTAGTAGTTAGTTAGTTAGTTAGTTAGTTAGTTAGTTAGTTAGTTAGTTAGTTAGTTAGTTAGTTAGTTAGTTAGTTAGTTAGTTAGTAGTTAGTTAGTTAGTTAGTTAGTTAGTTAGTTAGTTAGTTAGTTAGTTAGTTAGTTAGTTAGTTAGTAGTTAGTTAGTTAGTTAGTTAGTTAGTTAGTTAGTTAGTTAGTTAGTTAGTTAGTTAGTTAGTTAGTTAGTTAGTAGTTAGTTAGTTAGTTAGTTAGTTAGTTAGTTAGTTAGTTAGTTAGTTAGTTAGTTAGTTAGTTAGTTAGTTAGTTAGTTAGTTAGTTAGTTAGTTAGTTAGTTAGTTAGTTAGTTAGTTAGTTAGTTAGTTAGTTAGTTAGTTAGTTAGTTAGTAGTTAGTTAGTAGTTAGTTAGTTAGTTAGTTAGTTAGTTAGTTAGTTAGTTAGTTAGTTAGTTAGTTAGTTAGTTAGTTAGTTAGTTAGTTAGTTAGTTAGTTAGTTAGTTAGTTAGTAGTTAGTTAGTTAGTTAGTTAGTTAGTTAGTTAGTTAGTTAGTTAGTTAGTTAGTTAGTTAGTTAGTTAGTTAGTTAGTTAGTTAGTTAGTTAGTTAGTTAGTTAGTTAGTTAGTTAGTTAGTTAGTTAGTTAGTAGTTAGTTAGTTAGTTAGTTAGTTAGTTAGTTAGTTAGTTAGTTAGTTAGTTAGTTAGTTAGTTAGTTAGTTAGTTAGTTAGTTAGTTAGTTAGTTAGTAGTTAGTTAGTTAGTTAGTTAGTTAGTTAGTTAGTTAGTTAGTTAGTTAGTTAGTTAGTTAGTTAGTTAGTTAGTTAGTTAGTTAGTTAGTTAGTTAGTTAGTTAGTTAGTTAGTTAGTTAGTTAGTTAGTTAGTTAGTAGTAGTAGTTAGTTAGTTAGTTAGTTAGTTAGTTAGTTAGTTAGTTAGTTAGTTAGTTAGTTAGTTAGTTAGTTAGTTAGTTAGTTAGTAGTTAGTTAGTTAGTTAGTTAGTTAGTTAGTTAGTTAGTAGTTAGTTAGTTAGTTAGTTAGTTAGTTAGTTAGTTAGTTAGTTAGTTAGTTAGTTAGTTAGTTAGTTAGTTAGTTAGTAGTTAGTTAGTTAGTTAGTTAGTTAGTTAGTTAGTTAGTTAGTTAGTTAGTTAGTTAGTTAGTTAGTTAGTTAGTTAGTTAGTTAGTTTCTTAGTTTGAAAGGAGGATGTCTATACATCTAATCCGAAGAAATACACCAAGGCCTCTTTCAGGCCTGTAGTGCGCTTGTGTAAAAATTACCTTTTTGTTTTAAAGTGGCTTTTTGTGTAAAGATGACTTTTTGGGTGAAAAGTTTCTTTTTGTGTAAAAATTACTTTTGGTGCAATAGTTAGATTTTGTGTAAAAGTGACTTATTGGGATAAATTGCAACAAGTGACAAGTTGACAACGTTGCGTTGTCAACATTACATAGTGTTGTCGTACGTATGTATCTATATACTTTGGCAAAAGATGTTATTGAAAAATTATAAACTCTTTGGTGTCAATTTGGTACCAGGCGAGTATATTTCCTTTTCCCTCTATGTACCAAAACTAAGACTTGTCGTTTATAACAAGGTCGTTCGTACCAATCCAACGGTAGTACATTTTATTCTTTCAAAAATTTAACCATGATTAAGGTAAAATTTTCGCTTAAAAATACAACTTTTTTTAAAGTACTTTAACAACCTTCCTACAAACTATTTCGCAAAGTAAACAAAGTGTAAAAATTAAATGTCTTGTAAAGTCTATAAAACGAAAGACATTTAAATGGAATGCTTTTAATTACAAGACATTTGAAAAATGGATAAAACGAAAGAAGTTAAAGCTGGAGCAGCAGAAATTAAATGATTATAAATGAAAAAGAAAAAAATGAAAGACATAGAATGAATGACGTCTATAAGTAGTAGTTGTTAATGAATTTGAATTATTTTAATATTGCCATTTATTGCAAAAAATAAATTGCAGTTGGTGGGCGAAAAAAAATAGTTAACTGCCAATGACTAGTATTAGAAGAACGCTGTCTTATTGGCACATTATAGCTTTAAGCGTTTAGCTTTAATTATGGCTAATTAACAACATCTATTGCAAATGAGGTAATACTATAAGGCGTTTAAATGAAAAATCAATAGAAAAAATGCTAAAATAAGAAATAAGAAAATAATTAGACGACTAAATATCATTAATAAGATATCAAAAGGTAATTGAAGTTTAAAAATATTTGAATTTGAAATGAATATTAAATAACTAAAATTAATCTTTTATTGTGCTTTGTATGGAAAATATTTTTTTTTTTGTGAATTTAATGTATTTCTTTTTTTCTATAATTACAGTTTCAACAGCAGGACCTCATGAAAAACGTTTACTACATGCTCTTTTAGATAATTACAACAGTTTAGAGCGACCCGTTGTTAATGAATCCGATCCACTGCAATTAAGTTTCGGTCTAACTTTAATGCAGATAATTGATGTGGTAAGTTCTTGTTTTTTTTATAAATTTCTCTTTTTATATGTATGTTAATTATTTTTCTATTTTTTTACCAATTTGTTGCTTTGTTAGTTGCAACAATTATCTCTTTTTGTATTTATTGCATTGAGGTGGTGTACTTTTTTTTCTCATTATGATCTTGTATTACGACGACAATTTCTTTTGTTGTCTGTTTGTTTAAACAATTTGCCACACATTAAAGTAGACATAATGACATGCTTGTAGTTTTTTTTAATTTTCTTGTCTTTGATAAAATGGACAATGAAGAAGTAGGAGGAAGAGAGTGGAAAAAATGTCGTCAAATGGAAAAAATTCTTTTTTTAACCAGCATTTTATACTTAGATGCTATCTGCTTTTTACACTATTCCTTTCTATGCTGATTAAATGTATAGTTTGAGTGTGTATCATGAAGAAAATTACACATGAAGTAATTAACTAATTGTCAATTTAAAACTACTTACACACATATAAACACAACAAATTCAAAGGATACACATTTTAAGGAGGTATACTTATACACCCCCCCACTGTGCAAGTATACTAATAGTAGTTTCTTTGTATAAGCAGATGTTAAAACGTATGGACATATATGTCTACTTGTAGTATTTGTATGTAGTGATATCTCAAAGAGAAAAACACTAACAAAATCCTTTGTAAACATTAAACTAAAAGGCACATATAAGTGTTTTTGCGATTGTTTTAAGAACTAATTTAGATCCTTTAAAATGTACAAGGTCATTTATTTAACAAATGAATTTCTGCAAGTGACAATTTTTATACTGAAGTTCTTAGGCATCTTCTGACTTATAAAAAATATGTTAATAATTAATATTTTAGATACAAAGAGAATCATTATTAAAGAAACTTTAAAATAATAAGAATTAAGAAACTGTAGACGAATCCTTAGGTCTTATTGTTTTGTAGAAAAATTTTCAGAAGGACTTTTATTACGTGGGCTTAGGTTAAATTACAACTTTCAACTTTTTAGGCAATAGCCCCAAAGGTAAATTTTTATCAATTAAATGAACCTTAATTTTGATTTTGCTTGCCTCCTTTAGGTTAGTGGTAGTGTTCTAGTCTGTTAGACCTGAAGTGGTTGTTAAGATTCCCACCAGTTCTAGAAACTTATTTTACTGAAATGTGTTCATTTTCAACGCATGTATATAACCAAAATTAGGCCCTATCACAACGTGGTAGTAACGAAAACCTTTTTCTGGGGTCATTTTGAGGAAAAACCTTCCGCGGTAAATCGATTTCTAAATCATTCAGGAACATATTTACCTGAATTTTTAAATGTATAGTCTACAAAATTAGGTACTAAATTTATAATATAAACCGCAGCCCATATCATTGCCCTTTTTCCGTGTTTGTATCAATTATTGCCGGAAAAAGGGATATATGTACTTTTTCAACGTACTTTTTATACTCTATGTGGAATAGAGTAAATTGGCTCTATTTTTAAAAAATGTATAAAACTTACAACTCTAATGTATACTTTCTACTTCAAAGTAAGTTACTGTTTCATTTCGTCCTCTTTGCGAACAAAAACAAATTGTACTATTTTGCTTAAATAACAAAACAATTTTTGTTTAAAAAAAATTATCAAATCTATAGTTCTACTTTTTTCTAAAAGCACCATAAATAAAGCTTATCTTCTCTATCATTAAGGTACATATTCTGATCATATTCAATGATTCAAGTACTTTTTGAAAAATGAAAAAATATAACCATAAAGGGACTCCAAAAAGTGATTATTTTCCCAGGTTCGTATTTTGCAAAATTTTCGGAATTTTGATTTAATCTCAGAGGGAAAGTTGTAGCTTTTGTCATAAAGAACAAATTTTGAACATATAAAATATAAAAAAAAGTTCCTCTTCAAGATAATAATCGGAAAAATTTCAAGTGCTCTAAATTAAGCGTATACTTAGTATTTGTAATATCAATAAATCATTAACACGTATACGTACAATTGTCGTTAATAAACGAAGATCAGTTTCATAATGTTATAATTTCTCCTCTTCCTTTTTGCAAACAAAAAAGTATCAAATCTATAGTTTAAAAGTATAAATTCTATAGTTCTGATTTTTTCTAAAACTACTATAAATAAAACTTATATTCTCCATCATTAAGGTATATATTCTGCATCGAAAACGATTTTGTGCACAATTTTCTATTTCTCTACAATATTCTGAAGCATCTGCAATGCTTCAAGTACTTTTTGTGTTTAAAAGGTACCATAACACAGTGAAAAATAAAAAAATATAACCATAAAGGGACTCCAAAAAGTGATTATTTTCTCAGGTTCATATTCTGCAAATTTTTCGGAATTTTGATTTGCTCTCAGTAGTAAGCTCTTGTCATAAAGAACAAATCTTCTACATCAGTAATGTATATAATCTGCATCGAAAACGATTTTGTGCATAATTTTCTACTTCTGTACAATATTTTGAAGCATCTGCAATGATTCAAGTACTTTTTGTGTTTAAAAGGTACCATAACACAAAAACTGATTATTTTCCAAGGTTCATATTTTGCAAAATTTTCGGAATTTTGATTTACGCTCAGAGGTAAAGTTAAAGCTCTTGTCATAAAGAACAAATTTTGAACATATAAAATAGTAAAAAATTCCTCTTCAAGATAATAATCGCAAAAATTTCAAGTGCTTGTCTAAATTAGACGTATACTTAATATTTGTAATAACAATAAATCATTAACACGTATACGTATAGATGTCGTTAATAAACGATGTGCAGTTTCATTATGTTAAACTTTCCACTTGAAATGGAAAAAAGATGATGAATTTTTGTTTTTTATGACATAATCTGCAATTTTACCTCTGATAGTAAATTCCGAACGGTTTGAAAGATGAGACTATGAGAAAATTATCACTTTTTTGCCAAAATGACACCGAGACCCAAATCTTCGTTGTTTACCGTTCCTCTTATAAAATATTAAATTTGTGAAATAAGAAAGGTAATTTAACAACACTCATTTCCAATATACATATGTATGTATGTATGTATATACATACACCTCATGATACTTACTTTCTATATATTTCAACAAATTCGAAAAATTGTAATCTACATTTTAGTAAAATAGGATAAACGAATTTGAGATTTGATAATAGTCATAAGATTTAAAATAGACAAAAAAACCAACAAAATTATAAAAAAAAAATTAAATCTAAATAATCCTTTAAAATACAATAAGCTATCCCTAGAAAGCAGCAAAGGTGATGTGTTGGTACATGATTTGATTTTCATTTTCACAAATACACGTAAGAAACCATTTTCCACTTAAATGATGATTTAAGATAATAATATAAGATAAGAGTTGCTAGTCAAGAGGCTCTTTAAACAGAATAATATAAAATTTAACTATTTTTTTGGAAAATAATACGGTATTATCTAAGAACAAATTGTGTTGATAACAAATACTCAAAGCTCTCATACATTAGACCCTTAGGCCCAACAAACACTCACATGCATGGCATTTATATAAAAGAGCTTCAAAGTAAAGCAGGACCTGTGGCAATATAGAGGGATAAATATATTCTAACTTACAAACCAACTTGTATTATAAAGAGATACCATTGTGCATGTGTAAAATATATATATACAACAAGGATAAGAGTTGTTGTGTGAGTGACTTGACATTACAGGTGAAATGTAAAGCTAGCGGAAATAATAAACCAACAAAATATGTATAATATAGCAACAAAAATAACAACAACAACAGCAAAAAATTCATCATGATAACACTAAGATGAAGGATAAAAAGGTTAAGGAGACTACAACCTCTTACTTAAGACAAAATCTCCTCTCCCCTGCCGCAACAACTGATTCTCATATTTGAAATGAAAGTTGGGTGAAAAAATCACCTCATATGAGTGCTAACATTAAAGCGGAAAGGAAAAAGGATATAACTAAGGATATGCCAGGATCTACTGGCTTTATTGTGTAGACAATTTATTTATATAAAATATATATTTGGTTGCGTGTAAAATTTAAGTAAAAAATGTAATATTTCTGTTGTTAAATACATTGCTGAACATGATAACAATGAAGACGAAGATGAAGAAAATAAAAATAAAATAAAATTTGTTTAACGAATTGGAAAAGATAAAAAAAGCGGAGAAGGAAATAAACAGCTCAGAGGAAGACAAAAAAAAACAACGTAAAATGTTCATACGCAACTTAAAATAATATTGTAAGGAAGATAAGTTAATGCGTGTGTGAGTATGAGTATGTTTTAGTATGCGTACCAAAGGAAAAGGATACGTGAACAAGCAACTACACAAACATGCATACATGTCTGTAAAGTTAATATGTATTTCTAAGTATTTTATATTAAAATCATCATGAATTCTTAAAAAAAAAACCAAAAAAAAAAAACAAAAAAAGTAACAAAAAGTAAGATGAATTAAATGTCATGCAGAGTGTTGTATTGTTAACAATAATGACAGCAATAGCAACAGCTAAAGCTGTAGCAAGTAAATAACACCAGCAGCAACATCAGCAACAACAAGTGATATGAATGTGTTAAACCCTAAATACAAAAAAATAAAATAAAGAAAGGGAATAAAAAATATTAAATTATGCCTTAACAAATCTTTTACTACTACTTCCCTTAAACGCAAGTGTCAATGACATGTTTCCGTAGAAACTGATTAAGGCATAAATATTATGAATGAGGTAAATTTTACGGTTTAAAACTAGCCTAGATTAAAGTCCTTTTTTGAAGTAAATTTCCAAAGTAGTCCCATGTTTATTACGTTTTCTGTTTGAAAAAAACTAAGAAATATATTCAGCTTTAGAAACAGACAAATATCAACAACATTTTTCGTTTAGAAAACATAATTTGAGTAAAATGTATACATTTTCTAGCCCTTTACTAGTCAAATTAGTACCAATATTTCCTTATTTAAAGTACCTACAGAAAATTAAAAAAAAAAAAAATACCTAAAAGCAGCTCTTAATCTT